CCAACTACTGACCGGGCATACATATTCCAACACTTTGGGTGGGGAGGGGGGAGGGTGTTCCCCCCCGTTCCCCCCCATGTCAGTGTAAATGGCTCATTTCTCACATCCTGTGGCTGTGGCGTGCCTGGACAAGCCTCCATAGGAGAAGGCGAGTACTGTAGTGAGTTAAGAACAAAAACATCAGCAGAAACTTGGGAGTGTTACTTCAATCCTTTCCCCAAGGCGCTTCACCTCCCTCCTCCAACACTGTGCCCCACTTCCAGCTGCAACCGGACAAGCTCCTGTCCTCTGAGATAGCAGCCAACCCCTCATATCCGATTGTTGTTACTAGCGCTGCTGTTGAGCTGCTGTTCTTCCAAACCCCCATTTTTGGGTGGGAGGTGATTGCAGGTCCTGATCCTCCAGGGAAGTCTTATCAAAATCTCATCAAACCCTGTCGTTATCTTTCTTTGGCGATTCAATGTCTGTCGTAAGAAATTGGTAGCATCGATTCAGTTGCTGCTCTTTCATTCTGTAAACCAGAAACATCACCATCATTTATCACCTTTTGGATTGAAATATTTTGTTGTTCACAGTAAGATTAGAGTGGTTCATTTCCAGTGTCAGGAAGGGAGTTTTTTTCTTCCTTTCCTTAAATGGTGGAGTGTCAAAGTAACTTTTTGAGACAATTACGAAGGTCATTGGAGACTGGAGGAAGGATACACAATCCAGATCCACATAATCCTTTCAAACAAAGGCCCTTGTAAATTGAGGTGTGTGACTTTCCCTTAAGCAAAGCAGCAGAGAGGGCATACCGTGGAAGAGGCCCGGCCCATCAAAGGACTGCACAGTTCTCTGTCGTTCATGCTGTCGGCTGTTTTCTACCAGAGACATTATTGAAATTTAAACCTGCAAAGAGACACGGAGTCAGAGTGGGTAGGGCGTGAAGAGGAAGAAAAGAGGTGACGGAGCGGCTCAACTGACCTTTTTTTTCTGTGGTCAAAGAGAGCGCCTTTATGGCCTTGAACCGTTCCCATAGCCTTGACGAGAGAGTTCAGAAAGTTGGTGAACTTGATCTCATGAGTAAAAGAGAATATTAACACACTGTTGTCTTTTTGTGATGCAAAATAACGAGACTTGAATCAATCATTTCAAGAAAAAATGTCACCATAAATATGACCTTTAACCTCTACAACTTAATTCAAGGCTTCCGTCTTGCCACCATAACACCCCATAGCCGAGATACAGTATACGGTAGAAATGCTTCTCTTCCCGAGCCTCTTCCCAAGTCTGGTTTTAAGAAATGTCATCAAATTTGAAAGTTGTAATTACTGAGTCTGCGAGCCCATCATTTGCCTGCGGGTTGGACAAAGATGTAATCTCTTGCATCTTGACATGTTTCAAATAGTTACAAGCAGGCAGCTCAAACATCTACTCGAGGCAGCCAGAAATGTTGAAATGTGCTGAATTGAACTCTGCTCTCCCGCTTTGTCTCTTCATTCTGTTCATAATGCAGTACATAAAAACTGCAGAGGCGTTGATGCCGTAGCTCAAGTTACTGCATGCTGAGGTTCGCACTCATTTTAAATGAACATGGCCAAGCCGAGAGGACTGTGATCCACTGCCAGGTACAGCAAAGCATTCGGATTGGCTGGACACGATTTTCGTATGTACAGCAGTAAACGGGTGAAATAAGAAGCCATGTTTATTTGTAGGAAGTCAGTGAGCATTTGCTGGGCTTTTTAGACTGTGACACATAACTTTATGACCTCTCTCCAACGGAATTGGCCACTATTTGATGGTGTTTTGATCCCAATGTATTGCTTTGTTTATTGGACTGATAGCTGATATGCAAGAAAGTTTGTGGAATATTGTTATGACTTTGCGGCGTACAGTTATATATTTTTTTCCTCCCAGTGGCCAAACCGTTTTTTGCCAGTATCTTAAGATATTTCAAAGCAATTTCCAAGTGGCTCTTCAAATTTTTCGTCCCCGGGGCGCTCGTTATGACGGGCTCAGGGCTGTTAGGCGGTCACGTAGGTCGTCACTGGATTCGATACACATCTCCCACCACCCTTTTAAGTAAATAAACAAGCCATCCAGTGCGCGTGCTCGTAAAACTGAAATGGAGCGTCATCATTTACAAACATCCTCAGTTCGCAATGAGCAGGAGCAGCTTTTCTCAGCAGTGAGAGGAATTTTGAGAATTGCAGCTCTGTGACGCAATTCGAAATATTTTGTGTACGTGCATAGGGTTGAGACCGGTTATGTGTGGTCCATTTTTACTTCAAGGCTCCATATTGCTCAACGTTTCTCTTACATTGAGATTGTTCTCTTGTTTTGTCGCTTCTTCTCCCCCCCTTTGCTTTCCCCTCAACAATCCAATCAGATCCTGCTGAGTGTTGTTGTGTCTTCGAGGTTATCTTAGCATTCTCCCGCAAACTCTTCCAGCGATCTGGGCTTAGACAGATTTCTCTCCTAGGAGCTTGTTCTTGAACACCTCGTCTGAGATCCATTTCAAAAGCTTGATCAGAAGTTCTTTCATGCTCGTCTTAAAAGCTGTCTTTTTTTGTCCATACGTTTCGAATTGATGTCATGAAATTTACCTCACAATTAACTTAATGGCACAATTTTGGCTGTTAACATGATCTCATACAGTTTATCTTGGTGGTTAGTACCAGCAAGGTTTTCTCTGCCATCTCTGGGGCATCTTCAAACGGAAAATGGAAGAGCACAGGGTCTCTTGACATTCACCAGCTACATAATGTTGTGCTGGGGGACTGGAAGAGGATTCTGGTGCCATTGCAAGGCTTCAAATGGGATTCCGTCAGCGGGAAGTGGCCACTTTACGTTGACAGTGTCAGTGTTGGTCGCAACAGACTTACAGAGACACTTTAAGAGTCACAGAGACGTAGAGGTGGACATCCTTGGAAATGTCTTAGTTGATTGGTGAATCTGTTCACCTCTTGTGAATTTTGCCGTTCGGATCCTTGTTAGACAACAAATTACAGTACTGGATCAGTACCTTCAAAATGTTTTGTCAAATTCAGATCAGGTATTCTGTCGCAGGAAACTCAGTCAGGGAGTTGGGTTAGAGCGTCTATTGATATTGGCAGGTCCGTGGGGGGGAACAAAGTGACTTCAAAGGGAGCAAATGAATCTTCCATGCATGAGCTCACATAGAAATGTACAAAACACATTCCGTGCTCATGTTAACTCGGTTATATAATAATAGTCAACTCGTGATGATCACGTGTCTGAATTCACCTGTTTGCTTTGGACTTTTGTGTTTTTGAGGAAAGCACTTTTTTTTTCTTCTTCTTCTTCTTCTTTGTGATGACTGTTGAGAATAAGCCAAATACACACAGCCCGAAGTGCGTTTGTGTGTGCGTTTGTGTTACAACATTGAAGAATGAGAAGAAAACTGTGTTACTATCATCGCAAGCTGTAGAATATTGGTGCGCATCAAATTATAAGGCTTAGAAAACAAGATGTAAATCCCTTAGTGAACATAAAGTCCTTGAATCCATTCAAATAAAAGTGTGTGGCAATTGGCAAAGTTGGCCGAGTTGCTTTTTTTTTTTTCTTTTTCTTAACAGCAGTGATGTGCACTACAGGCCTAAGCATCATCAAAAGCACAGACCTGTTTTTGTGTCACAGGTATGCTTCAAAGGCGGCCCACCATCGAAGACTTTGTGGAGGCGCTGGTGTCAGAGCTCCAACCAAACTTTGAGACGTTCATCATGGACTCGGAGACATGAAAGGTGCTCTTTGGCGGGGGGGCACAAAGACGTTTTCTAACATAATAAAATGTATTTGTACTACAATAATGTGACGATACAGGCAAGGTCTTCTTACCTATCGCAAATTATTAAACAGTAAGAACTTTATATGTTGACTACTTTTTTCATGTGTTTCATGGAATATCCAACCACTTTTTTTCCATAGCGCTTTTTCCAATTGGGGTCACGGGTGAGTTCGACTTTTTTTTTCTTTTCCTTGCTCGTAGCCACGAGAGGATAATTTCTACTTCGACCAGAATCTCTGTTTTCTTTACAGAAATATTTATGATTCTAGTTTAGTACAGATCTTCAAACTAGCACCTTTTCTGCTCCTTATAGAAAAAAAAATACTTTCCTGTGTATATTCAACAATGGTTATTATTCTAGACTCTACTGAGACACAATCACTATATTTGGGAAGGGCCAGCTCAAATGCTGTGGTCATATTTGGTTCCCCTCACCAGCTGTAGTTGGAAATCCCCATGAAACCCCCATCCCTTTGGCAACGGTCCTCGAATATTAGCACCCAGTGCTAGGTCATGCTAAAGCCATACGCAGGCATGAGCCTGAGCTTGGTTTACAAGTAGTTCATATTAACGCTTTCATGCGGTTGTTAGCAGCTGAGGTGATGCTGCAGCTACTTCCTGCAACTGTTGACACCCCGTCACCACTAGCTTTAGCCTGGCACGGTTCTGAACCGGAGGCAGGCGGCATAAAGCGGTTACGAAAGGCGGCAGCCACCAGGCGGACTGCTCTGATTACCAGTGGTGGGAAGCAATACAGTCTAAATACTTTAACGGCACCATACTAGGTTTTTCAGGTATCCATACTTTTTTCCTGAGGCCCCTTCACTTTAACTTTGGTTGGTTGAGCGAGATTTTGGGGATATAAAAAAAAGTGTGTCAATACAGGTATTCTGTATTGTTTCAGCTAAAGTACCTGGAGAAAATCTATGCAAGGCTGGGGTGAACTCCCAAACTCCCCATAGGAAGGCCAGAGCCCAGATTCAAACCCCAACCTCTGAATTGTGAGGCAGTTGTACCACTCTTTTATAATTGACAGTAAAAAAAGAAAAAAATCCTTTTGCATCTGAGTATATTATGTATTTTAATTTACTGAGAACTATATCTAAGAGTGCCAATAAAAACAGCATTATTGTTTTTAAAAAGCAGCTCTTGGATTGGCGGCAGGAAGTGTTCTTCCTACCGTGGCTAGCGAAGCTAAAATAATGAACATTTGTCTGTTCAAGTGTTTTATTGACAAAGGTGTAAAACAGGTAGATGGATCAACAACACTACAAATGCAGCACACGATCAGTCTTGTCTATATTACAAAAATATGCCACTATTTACTATTGTACATTATTCACAAGTCACTTGAATGATCCTCTCGCATGTTCTTAAGATTGTCTCTCGTGTGTGACTTCTCATGCCACAAGTTGCGACTTTATACGTAAAACGCCGGGCGCGACGTGATCAAGTCAATTGTCCTCCGTGTTGAAAGTTCATTCGCGTTCACCTGTGGACCAGTGGCCACTTCACATCGTTGCTTTCGATTGTACTTTGTTTGGGCTCGAGGTCAGCTGCGGCTTGCGACCACAATGGAGAGCGTGTCGAATGGGAGCAAGCCGGACGGAGTGCTAAGTTGAATGAGGCGAGTCGTGTGAAAGGAAATCCGTCCACCGCCGCCGTTGTTGATGACTCCAGGCCGCTGGAAGCCAAAGCGATGCGTGTCATCCTGGAAGATGAAGGCCAACACACGCTGATTAGTAACATAACGGAGCCGTGGCTGACACAAAACTACTTTCAAGTCGGCTCTTCTTTCTCATACCAGCCGTTGGTCACGCACACACGGGCTGTGTCATCTGAGCCGTCAGCCAACAGAACACTTATTTTTCTTGGGCGCCTTTTCAAGAAAGACAGTCTTCACTGTCATGTACGTCTTTTGCGCCGACTTTAGGCAGACTTTAGCAAATGAAAGTTGACATGCTTGATTTGCTTTCGCGGGCCACATAAAATGATGTGGCGGGCCGGATCTGGCCCTCGGGCCTCGACTTTGACACATTGCATTATGTGATAGCATTTGGCTAGCAGACTTTGGTTTGATGCAATTAATGTTTCCATTTTATGCTTTTTTACGGTAAACAGCCTTGAAGCAAGCACATTTAGCGTCTTATTTGGAGAACTATGTGAGAGATGGTGTGAAAATGGTACGTTTGTGTTTGATGTCTTTGAACAATGTGTTTTGTGTGTGTGGGGCAAAGATGCCATCGTTCAGCTTTAGTATGTAGCTCTGCCATACTTTTCCTGTTACTCAAGTCATTTAGCAGTTTGGTCTGATTTCACACGTCAACACAAGCACATCCACAACACTCCAAACGTAATCATCCTTAAAGCATATTCAAGCGAGGGGGGGGGGGGGTTGGTTCAGGTAAAAGGTCACCTCACCCTCCCTGGTTGACGGCGGCTGCTCGCTTGGTTTTCTTTCGGGGGAATTCTCTCTTCGGCCAAGCCCTCCCGCCACTCCTTTGTCGTCATCTTCAGAAGCTTCTGGATTCCGGAAACCCTCCGAGATGGCCTCTGAAAGTCCGGTCTGAGCGTGTCCTGCCACTTCGTCATCCTGCTCTGAGTTGCTGGTAAGTGTGGTACAATTAGACACAAATGATTGATACCGGTCTGTCGACAGGCCGCACCCCGGTGCATTATGATTTTCACGCTTTGTTCTTTACTTCAAAGCTTCCAACTAATGAAGTCGGGTTGAAGTGCAACATAAGTGAGGGCAGAGGAGCTGACATGGGTCCTCTTAATAGCACCTAACATTTTAGTCATGTGTAACAGAGCCAGTGGAAAAAAAACTGACTGTACGGCATTATAATTGACACAAAATCTGTGAAATGAGGACGTGTTCTTTTACTACACCCTCCATTATCAAACAAAAATCTTTGTGTGTTCCCCTACTTCGACAATAAATGTGGCACTGCCTTTTTTCTGTTGAACTCACGCCTTTGACTCTGCCCTTTTTCTCTTGAACTACATGGGGCGGAAACCATTTTTATTTGGTGAAACTTTTGTTTTCATTTACAAGTTCAAAGCATTTCAATACATTGCTGTGTCATATAATTTGTGTAGGGGTACGCTGTATCAATCTAATTGACGAGGAGGACGTTGTTTTCTGCCGTTTCCGTCAGGCTCTGTGCTTGAGACCATTAAACGCAACCAACACAAGAAATCCTGCTGTGCGTCGTCATTATTCTTAAACACAACACAGTCCACCATCTTCATAACAACCTAACATTTCAGTTATGTACAATGTATACAATGTTCTCCGGATACCTGCATGCTGTAGCTGCCAAACTTTGTGCTTATTTAGTCCTTATATAAGTCACCTGCCTCAGTAAGGCAGAAGAACCGTATGATTGCTCACAGCCAATCGGTGAAGGATAGGGGTGGCCCTGATGCCCAGTCGGGCCCCGTAAACAGATTTTCCAGAAATTCGTAAAGGGCCCTGGGCTAAAGTTCTTCTGTGTCAGAAGACAAAAAAGTCCAGATAGGATTCCAAAGCTCTTCTTGAATTCACTGCTGAGTCACACAGCGGTCAGAGGAGGGTTCCCCCTCCCCTCCGCAAAGTGAACTGCAGTGGTGGCTCGAGCTTCATGAGGCTCGGAAGCTCTTTTGACAAGATGTTGCCGGCGTGTTGGTTGCCTCCTCACCTGTCGTTGAGGCTGGCGTGAGAGCCAAAGCGTGCGTTGTCCAGACTGCAGCTCTCCTCGCAGCACATCGACGGGATCAGGTGGACCGGTCCTGAGCAGCACACACAGAGTACAAACAGACCATGGTTACTCCTGCAGCTAAAAGCCCGATGAGCTCATGCGACATGTTTAAATCATAAAAACTGGAGCCGATAAGGATCACTTTTGAATAACACGGGTAGGTACGGCGCCGTGAAAAAGTATTTGCCCCCTTTCTGATTTCTGTGTTCTTTGCATATTCATCACACGAAGGTTTCGATAAAGCTTATCATTATGATTGCAGGTGAGCTCACGCATGACCCGAAGCTGGTTAAGCATTATAGAAAATGGATGGATACGGTATGTTAAATTAATCATTTTTGATGGCGTGCCAAATAATGTGAGGCGCACCGAATGAAGTGTGCACGTTTACAATCGAGCATACCACATGTGTGTCCGGGGCCGAGGTGACACTGGCAGCAGGCTCCCTGGGGAAAGTCTTGGAGCCAGCGCGGGTCCAGGCAGGACATCTCGGCCCCGCTGTACTGACAGTCCTCGAACCTCAGAGACGCCGCTGGTTAAACAAGTTGCACAAATGACAACACTGTGATGCCATTCAACCTAGAAAAGAAACGTTCTAGCTACAGCGTGCATGGTACACCATTATTTGTTCTGAACTCCACATTCACCCAACTTTGCCACATAGTGACTCACCACCGGGCTTTTTCTCCACCAGCTGCCTCTTACAGTAGATGATGCAGAGGACCAGCAGGGCCAGCAGCACCGTAGCCAGCGCGGTGCAGATGACCACAGCTAAGGCCATATCACGAGGGCTGGACACCACCGAGGGCAGAGGCACCAGGTTTACCCGCCCGCTGCCTGCATACGCACGCACACACACACACAGTTTGCGGTCAATATGAACCACCAAGTCTCACATCCGATGTAACACCGGTTGACATGCACGGTTGCCTCAAAACTATCATTACAGCTCAAGATATTAAAAGTTTTTTTTCGTCTTTTAAGGACTTAAGTTGGTTCATTGACAGTGCAGTCGTGATGTAACAGTTTCACTCTGCCTGGTTCTCGTGGTTCTGTCTTTGGCGGGGGACACCCTGAACCGATTGCCAGCCAATTGCAGGGCACATATAGACGAACAACCATGCACGCTCACAGTCACGCCAAGGGACAATTTAGAATCTTCCATTCACCTGCCTTGCATGTTTTTAGAACGTGGGAAGAAATCGGAGTACCCGGAGAAAACCCACACAGGCACGGGGAGACCATGCAAAATCCACACAGGAAAGCCGGAGCCGGAATCGAACCCTGCACCTCTGCGCTGTGAGTCGAACGCGCGAACCAGTCGCCCAGCGTGCCGCCTATTGAACTGGATGTTCCAGTATTTTTGCTACACACATTATCAGTTCTGAAACTGACCTATAAATTCTTGTTAAGTTCAGTCCGACATCAGGCCATCATGTTGCATGCCCCACATAACAAAAGAGCTTTTCTGTTTGATGAGTTAGCAGCTCACCTGAATGTGACAGATGGCTTTGGTTGAAAATACCTCTCTCTGATCTTTATCAGTACGGTAATATACATTTCTCACTTAGCAGCTGGTTCGGAAGAAAATGGGTGTGTTACTTGAGGTTACACAAGACAGAATGAACAGTTATGAAAAAAATCTCGAAGAGCATGTACAATCCAGTACGTAATCTAAACAGCGCTTCTTCCTTTGGCACTTTGTCAATTCAGCTGCATAGGGGATAGCGGCATCTAAACGATCCATCAAATGAAGTTCAAAAACAAGATTCAGATCTCACTGAGACGGTGAACAAATTAAAGATGACCTGTTGCTTGTTTTTCCATCAAGATTGGCACAGCTCTGCACCAAAACTATGATAGACGTGAGTAAAATAGAATATGAATGAAGCCTGTGCCGCTAACCTGTTCGCAAGTGCTTCATCAAAGACGTGATTAGACGAAGCTGAGCATGACAAAGTGTCATCCTATTATTATTTACGTAAGGATGTGCTCGTGAAAGACGGATCACTGATCTTTATTCGAGGACAAGTGTGTTTGATGTGGCGACCGTCCAGGTTAAATCCAACGCAGCCGAGAGGAACATCGGCTGCTCTCAGAACACAAAAGGAAGTCTGTTATCAGACGCCAAGCAGCTGCGGCAAATAAACCGCGGTCCATGGAATACGGCTCACCTGCCGATTGTATCTCCGCATTGAGCGGGATACGAAACCGCAGTCTTTCTCATGGATTCCCCTGCCTCCAGTCTGGAGCTTTGATTCGTGCCTTTTACAAACACTTTACACAGAAGTGAGCGTGGTTGACCCTGAACTCTAAAAGCATTCCTGACACTAACTTCTTTTGACTGGGTGAACATGGTCGTAAAAGGCAACGTTGGAATGTTAGAAGAGTTTTAACGGTTCAGAATTAAGTACAACCGGAAAACGAGCCATTACACTTAACACCGTAACACTTTTTACAGCACATCTCCACAATCGAATACACAAGAGCTGCGGAAATAAACCTGTACGCCGGGCGTCATTATTCTGCTCAATTTAACAGCGGCATGGAAGCAGGAGTTCCGAATTGCGACACAGATTTATCCATTCCCTCAAAAACAATATCAAATGTGCAAGTCCTTTGTTGTATTATTTTTTTTTTCTCTCTTGTTTTCAAACTTCGGCTCATGTATTGGAGCTCATGAGATTGTGCAGCAGCACCTATAACACATGTTCCTAAGCACTTTCTCAACTTTTTGGAAGCAAAATATACAACGTGAATCGATCAACAGAGGATTTGTTAATATAAAGCCAAAGTATCTTTGTGGTGTTGTGGTTTGTGTGGTACCACAAAATAATGATGGCCCACGAACATGTTAATGACCTTGATGAACGTGCTTTTGAATAGTTTTGAAGTGTGCGAGAGAGAGAGAGAGCGAGAGAGAGAGAGAGAGGGAGTGAGAGAGAGAGAGACAGAGACAGAGAGAGAAAGACTGAATGAAGCTTTGAACTAAGTCAACACAACTCAACTTTGTGAATGACGTTTGGCATTTGATGTTTACAGGTTGGATTATCGAGCCTGTGGTTGGTTTGCTCGAACACTAGCTGTACTGTCTTTTTAATTTTTGTCTTTCATGAAAAACCTGGAACTTCCTGCCTGAAATATAGCAGGCGTTATATGGCTCCATTTGAAAATCTTTGTCAGATTTATGACGACAACAAAAGCGATAACTCCCTTCGGGCTATTTTATAAATCCAACAACAATCCAAGCCGTTCTGACAAACAACGTGTGTCTCTGCTTGCGTTTATGTATCTGTCTGGATGTCCAGAGTGTGTTTGCGTGTTCTGCTCTGCTGTAGGGTGACAGTGAAAGAGTTCAGCAGATGAAAGCCATTAGAGGCTTAAGGAGTCCATAAAACACAAACTTATTTTGACTCAGTCCAAAAAGTCACTGGAGGAAGAAAGGGAGGAGGGAGAAAGGGTGGCTTTTAGATTTACAATCCACAGCAGAGGGTGACGGCCTCCCCTGCACAGCTGCAATGCTGCTACGGCCCAGTGAGGCCCATTAGAATAATCGAGCCTTTCAGTTTTCACCACCCTTCTCGAGATAACACTGGATGGAGGCAGCGAGGCTTTCAAACATTTGGAAAAAGCTCCAGTCAGAGTCCCTGTAGGAGCTAACGGCCAGCTATGTCCTCACACAATGGCTGTTTTGTTTCAAAGGGCCTCCTTCCGCTATCACGATTGGACGGCGCATAGCTGGACTAACATCGATACTGTCTACAACAACAACAACAAAGAACAAGAGCACACAAAACAGAGATAACTTTTTCCCCACTAAAAAAAAAAAAAAGACATTTTAGAAGAGTTGTGCAACATCCCAGAGCCTTCTGCATTTATTTAACACGAGGCCTCTCAACCTGGCCGGGACTCCTTTGAAGCAGATTTGCCTACCACCGTCCTCGGAAACAGCTGCCCTCTCCTACACAAACAGGAAGTCACACTCAATTAGCAAAGGCTTGAGTTCACTTGCCTCTTTGTTTTAGGTGGAAACATGCAATCATTAACGTCCTCTAATGGCTGGAGCGGAGAAGATAATTGAATCTGAGGCTGAGTGGAAAGTTAGCCTTGCTTGACCCTTTGCCTCCGTTTTTTTGTGTGGCCGACATGCACAAATTACTCGAAATAACAAGGTTTCGACTCCTAGGAGTGGCAAGATGAACGACCGCAGGAGTCACTGTCAAGTCAAATGCCCCAAAGTGAAAACCAAACCTGGAAAAATAATGTGACATGTTGGCTAAAAGTGAGAATCCGAAGGATGAACTTCACAAGCGTATTTTGCCTTCATTTTTTTCTTTTTATGATGATCGCAAGCATGGGTTAAGAGTGTAATATTACCACTGAAGTTGTTGCAAATTAGGAAAGAAGTGCATGTGTCTCTGCCCTGGTTGTTCAATAAAATTAGAAATGGCTGAGGTGACAGAAAGTAAGCATCTTTAATCACACAAGAATGGACTATTCACTACACCTCTGCTTGGGGGCGTAACAAGTTAGAGATCCAGCTCCCAGGCATGCACCATAATTCTCCCTCTGCATTTTTTTGTCTCCACCCCAGTCAAAGTTAACGTTGAGTTTGTTTATTTCGATGTATTGTTCTCAATCGATTTATTATCTTGTATTCATACACTTGTATCAGGGTGTTAAAAAGGGGGATGGCACAAAGCCAATTTGCGCCACCTGTATCGCACATTACAAACAAAAAATTGATTTGGTCTCAGAATACACCCGTTAACTTGTTTTTGATATTTTTATGACAGATGTTAAATGTTCATGTAAACACTGTCCATTCAAGATTTTATAATGACTCTGGAACAAATGGATGAGATTGTTTTGCTGTGGGAATCGTCGTTTTGAAAATAGAACAAAATAGAGGTCCAACCAATGTCCACTCAGACATTATTTTTGACTCTGGGGGTTTCACTGCATCCATGAGAACGTGACACAGTATCCCAGTGATGACAAAGTGCAAAGTGTGGGAGACAAGGGAATGGGAAAAGGAAAGGTGCTTACATTGAGGCTCATACTGAGGCGGAGGGTCTCCACAGGGTGTACACTCCATGTCTTGGAAGCCACTTAATTTGGTCTTCCTATAATATCTGTTGAGAACACGAGTACAAGCTTCCTCAAAATGTGGCTGAATGTGACAAGCGTCAGTCAGGCATCAGACTCTTTATAATTACGATCACAATCACTCATTTTTCCATATTTTATATATTTTTTTGGGGGGGCGGGGGGTGTCTCTCTTCATGTGGCGATACACTTTCACAACAGCGTTATATGACAATGGCGCGTTTGTGCTCTCACCCAGGCCGGCACTCTCCACACACAGCGTTGCTGGTAGCGGAACAGTTGCTCTTCTGGAAGCGGTTGATGAGTCCACAGTCCAGACAAGGCTTACACTTCTGGAGACTCCGGTCTTCCTTGAAGCGACTGGTCCTGCATGGCACACACCGGGCATCTTCTCCATAACCGAAGCCACATTCCTGGAGGGATTAAAAGAGAAGAAACACACTCGGGTTGGTGCAGCTGGTGAGAAGACTGCTTGAATGTAGACTAGTAGTAATGATCTTTGGTTCATTACACCGGCAATAATCTCCTTGACTCTCGAAAACAGAATGAACAGCCTTCCACTGGAAGACCCGGAAAGGCAATACATTGGAATTATTAAGGCCCTGGGGGGCCCCTGAGGGGTTGTGATTAACAAAGGGAATACTTTTAAGTGCTGTTGTGTGATTTACGGGTGATCACCGTTGTGTCAAATCAGATATATTTGGTCTTTGATCCCCACCGAACATCCTGTTATTGACAATAGCTATTTCAGAACTGGTGAAGTGTCTTGGGTGGAGATAATCAAGATAAGATCATCATTTATTGCTCCCCAGAGGGGAAATTCAAGTGTGCAAAGAAAACAACATGTAGCACAAAGCTGGTTCTTGAAATACAATGGCACTGAATAAATAGCATCAAAAGAGATAATTACAACAACAACAATAAAAAGATACAACAACTCTGAAAAGAACGATTATGGATGATCTTAAGTGATTTTTTTTTTTTAAATCTGAGAGGAGTGAGCACAAAGGAACACCTGAGGCACTCAGTTCTGCTCCAAGGTGGAACGCTGCGCTGGCTTCAGAACAATATCAGTAATAATTGCTCACTGGTACCAAAGACATCTCACATTTTCTTGGCGATGTAGTGATAGCCCAACACTGACTTTTGGGATCTTGAGTGATATCACACAATGACAGCTGCCCTCCTGTTGGCCAGTGTTGTAATGTCAAGCTTTGACAACACACGGGGTGGAAGGAGGCGCTCATATATCATGAAAGCGAAGGTCAGCTTCAAACAGCTCTTCCCTTCTGTCCTCGCCCGTGTCCCATTTCACTGTCCGGGCATGCAGTCTTGCTGGAATGTGGGCACAGGAGTGTGGTATGGAGTTGGGGTGGGGGTAAACTGGCCAGAAATGAAAAGGGATTTTCAAGGCAAAGATGTGACACAGTGATGGCACCGCAGAGGAGGAAGAGGAATGCAGTCCCCCGAAAGCAAACACATGCAAGCCTGATACTAAACACTTGGGTCAAGCGGGGCCTGAGGTGCACTAGCTTTGGAAGGATTCTTGCAGCTGTTGTTATGACCCTTCCATTTCAGGCCTCGCTGTCCATCAGCAAAAAGAATGAGACGGAAGAACGGGTGTGAAATAGGAGGGTGACCGATGAGCGATTATGGTCAGAAAACGCAAAATAAGGATGATGCGTCTGTCTACAGCTGCTTGACAAAGTGTCTCTCTCTGTACAAGCGGAGGGGGTGATGGTACTGGTTCAGGTTCATCCTCTGGAACATCCACAACTTCTTCATCTGGGAACGGCACCGTCTGAGTGTCTTCTTTATCAGACTCGGTGATGTCTTTTTCAAGTAACGGTTCAGATAAGTCTTCTGTATCAGACAAAGTGATCTCTCCATGCGGAGACAGCACCGGGCAAGGTATGTCCTCTGTGTTTTCCTCTGATAGGCGTTCAGATAAACTGCTTTCACTTTCCTGTGAGGGCTCAACCTCAACAGTCTCTTTTGGTGGTGATGGAACTGATTCAGGTAAGTCTTCTTTATCAGACACAGGAGACTCTGGTATCTCCTCTATGATAGGTTCAACGATTTCTTTGGGTGGTGATGGCACCTTTTCAGGTATGACCTCTATGGGTGATGGCACAGTAGGTAATTCTTCCATATCAGGTACCTGGATCTCTCGGTGAGACACAGATCCTGATATTTCTGTGTTGGTCACACTGACAGATAGATTGTAATCAAGGGTAGGAAGTTCTTCAACTAGTGGCTTTGACTTCCACAAGAAGCCACTGAGGATTCATGGCTTGGCACTTGCTCAAGCTCTGGCAAGGGGGCACCGAATGACAGCATGGGGGGGGGGGGGCTTATGTCCCACACAGCAGATACAAAAAGTGCCCCGTGCGCAAGAACAAAAAGAAAACGGGAGCCGACTTGTACTCCTCTGATCCCGGCAGAGCTGAACATCACAAGGAGTGATCAGTGTCCTCTTGCGTGCCAGCTAACAAAGCTCAGCAGAAGTTGACACCCTGCGCTGCAACTAGCAGACATGACACTCCACTCAAAGATGAAAGGGCTCCAAAACAATACAAGATTGTAATAAGACTTAGCATCTCCCTAACATTATAGACAAGTAAAAGAAGTGAAGAGGGAACTCGTCAAAGGTGTTTGATAGAGTGAAGGTCAGGGCGCTCACAAACGCAACTCATCATCAAGCAGGACTTTGTGGCCATTGCTTAGCGCACCGGGGCTCCCAAACAGAGATTTAGACGAATTGTGCAAAGACGTGTCCCAAGACATGTGTGCTTTTGTTTGGTCAAGGTGCAGACGACTGAGAACATACGGTTCATGTTCACGCAGAGATATTTGTGAGATTAGATGGAGCTCACATTGGGGAGATCGGTCATCTGATCTGGTAATGAAGTCATTGTGAACACATATAGCTGAACCATTTCTTCCTGAGAATATTGCAGACAGACATTTAAAGCTCTGATGCTTCTGTGGCTCAACAATTGTGTCTTTCACCCAAAAGTTCTTTGCCCTGCCGGTATTGCTGAAGGAGGAAATATTAGAGGCTTGCTACATACTACAAGATGTTGACACATCAAGGTCATGTGCCTGCCTTTTTGGAAACTGGCCGTTATCCAGCCTGCACTAGACTGAAATTAGTTTCCCTCTCCATCACACTTGAAACTTTTTTTTTTTTAAATCCTTAAGAAATATCATGAACAAGGGATTGAAATATGGTCGAGACAAAACAAAAAAATGCGTGTAATGGATGTTGGCTCTTTATGGGTGGTTCTGTTTGCTATAGTGTGTGTGTGTGTGTGTGTGTGTGTGTGTGTGTGTGTGTGTGTGTGTGTGTGTGAATGGGGCTAATTGATGCTTGCCAGCCTCAACACAGCTTCCAGAGGCAAACTTCCATTGCTAACTGGGGCACATTCCTTCGGGATCTCTATGGCAGCTGCACAGGAGGAATCCAAAAGTCTGCTTCCCTCCTAAATAGTCACATCTGAATCTGTACAGATTGTCTTGGTTACAGAGCTGAAAGTAGATAGAGCGTGTTCTTTGGGAAACTTTCTCTTGTGGGCAAGCCTGGGGTCTCTGCTGCGAGGCGGCATTCTGCTGCTGCCTTCAGAGAAAGAACGAGGCAGCCAATTATTAACTCGGACCCCAGGGTGCTAGCGGCATTCATGCCTGTTAAAAGCCGGCAGAAGAACACGAAGGCTGCCGAAACCCTTCACTCTGACATTAAAGGCAACTGGTCTTCAATGCATGTGTGCAACACATGTCAAGAGTTTATTTTCGTTAATGCAGAGCTGCAGCATATGTTGAAGCCAGTTTGATGAGTGGTGTTAAGTTGAGCATAACTTCCACAGGGGAGGGCGGGGATAAGTAAATGTGAATTTATGAATAGCAAATTATGACTAGGCGGGGTTCACTGTGTGTATACTGCAAACACCAGAAGCATTGTTGATTCCGCTGCCATCGGTTTGTAGTCAAGAGAAAAATGACATTAAAAAAAAAAAGTGTTCATTTCCCCATCATTTGTCAAGGAAATGCCTATTTGTCACTGTGTAGTCTTTTTGCCAGTCATGACTGGTGGTAATTATTTCCTCAGCTTTCCATCACTGTCTACACCTGCACAAGTCGAGAAAGAGCAGCAGCCGGAGAGGAAAGGATTTGACTCACCGCCCTAAGTTGACACTGCAAAAGGCCTGTCCATACAGAGCACTCAAATAAATACACTAACCAACCACAGCGGTGGGAAGAAAAATCCATGACCAACTCTGAAAGCGGCAAGCTTAGGCATGGCTTCAAAAAGTGGAGACAATGAGTTGCAAAAGGTGCCACGGGGAGACGGGAAACAATGGATGCCATTCAACTGGAGAAGGTCAAAAGTATGGGTGTGACTGAGTAAAGGCGGGTTGTAGCGGACGAATGCTAATAACAGCTTGGCTGTTCTCTGCATGAATGAGAGGAAGTCATTAATAATGTTGTTTGCCTGGATGAGACGGACTTTTTTTTTGGCATTCTTTGCATGAACTCAAGAGTTCCCCCTTTTTTTTTTTCTTTTCACGTGACTAGTCCAATCAACATTTGTTTTGCAGTTAATGGAAGCTGCTGAAGAAGCAGTGTAATGGATCATGTAGGTGCAATACAAAATAAACAGCCTACAGGCAAATATTTTAACGGAACTTTTTACACGAGAGAAAACACACAAGACGGGATTTTCTTTTCCTGACCTTTGATAGCTCCTGTCCCGCATCGCACTGCTCGCAAGGTTTACAATTCCCAAATTGGTCCTTGTACTCCTGCTCTCTGCATTCCCTGCTCTCCTCTTCAGCCCTTGCGGTATTCTGAGCAAAAGAGACATTTGGTGGAGGACAGTTAGGAATTTTCTGCATTTCACCACTTTTATCGGTAGTCTGATACTGAGGGGAGACGAGTCTATGTGAACTCGATAGTTGTTGTATTTATTCATTTAAAAAAGAAAAAAAACGAATCTGAGTCAAGCAATGAATCCAGTATAATGAGTAGATTCAGTTATAATGATAATCAGAATTATTTGTCACCAAGTCATTAAAATTGATAACCACAGTGTATGGTTTCGGATCATGATAAAGTCATATAAAAAGAAGCTTAACAACAAAAGTGTACTGAGCGCACATCTACTCTTAATAAGAAAAACACTCACCAGAGCTGAATATAGGAGCTGTAAAGTAATTACAAGAGAGATGGAGTTTTGAATTATCCAGACCATTGTGCTGAGCCACTTCTGTAGCTAGCATCTGAAAAAGAGGAAAAATATAGTTTGCGTTCTCTTTCTGACTCATTCTCTCACACTTTCCTTTCAGAAAGTCCTCCGTGGGGTAGCCATACATACTACATTGATGAAAAGATGGTAATGCAACTACTGAACAAATATTTAATGCTATACATAACAAGTATTGGTGGGTCAGTAAAACTGGATGCACAAAGATATTTAATGCATCTTAATTTTAGGTAGCGAGCAAACCTCATGTAATGCAAGACAAAAATATACAGTATTTAGATCGGAAAATTATTTTGATATTTATCCTAGCGTGTAAAACTAAATTTAAATTTAGGGAGAGTGAACAACGCTTAAAGACAAACAGGTTGTTGAAAAGGCTATAAAGACGAACTTTTACTGCTTTTCCCCCCACACCAATAAGCACGCAGATCGGCAGAGCTACACAACATCTGCGAGGAAGATGCTGCCGCTGCGGTCCAACAGTAACCCCGGCATTAAAAATATAGACTGTATATCTTCTTAATTTATATTACAGAGATAAGTAAGTAGGCAGTAGTCAGAATGATTAATAACGACCGACTGCAACCTTAACAACCCGAAATAAGGTGACACAAACACAACAGCCGGTCATTAAATAGTTAAACCTTAACTTTAGCACAGATTTACGAGTGGCAACACGAACGTCTTTGAGTCAACGTTTTATTAATTGCAAAGCTTCTGCGTGACGCAAGGCTCTATTGTTTTTGCAGTTGGCTCTCGTGTGTTGACACGATTGCAGTGTTCCGCCGCCAAGGCAAACTGTGATTAACTCGAGGCAAGCAAAGATTGAAACAGATTTAAACGTTTTACCTGCTAGCTAAAGAACTCGTGGGTCCAAATTCAAGTCTCGAGCAGTCCAAAGAGAGGTGATGTTCTGGTGTCAACACGTCCCCGGAGCTGGAGAAACTGGTCTCACGGTGCAGTGCACCACATGAAAGCAGCGACTAGGACAAACTCGGCGCCCTGATCAAAGGCGGACCAGAGGGGGCGGGGTTTTCTTGTCATCATCTGATTTGGGATCAGTCGATCACAATAAGACACCAGTTTAGTTCACAGCAAGTCTGATCTGAGACCAGATGTTTCACAAAGATGCTCTGTGATCAGACGCTTCAAAACGCCTGACCTACAGAGTGTGGAGGCTGATTTGGCAACATGGACAAAAACTGGGAGAAGCCGTCAGAAACAGAATTTAGGCCACCTCTCACACGAAACACACTTCTGAAATACCTGATCCCATAGCCATCTTGTTCCGTGCCCCACGTCCTGTGGCAACCAACTGTCCCTGTTCCGGCAGCGCAGGTCCTGGGCCACCAACCGTCCCTGTTCCGGTGGCGCACATCCTGTGGCTGCCAACTGTCCCTGTTCCAGCTGAGGATGTCCTGCGGCCGCCAACTGTCCCTGTTCCAGCGGCGGATGTCCTGCGGGCGCCAACTGTCCCTATGCCAGCAGCGCACGTCCTGCAGCCGCCAACTGTCCCTGTTCCAGCGGAGGATGTCCTGCGGCCGCCAACTGTCCCTGTTCCAGCGGCGGACCAACTGTCCCTATGCCAGCAGCGCACGTCATGCGGCCAACAACCATCTCTGTTCCGGTGGCGCATGGCCTGCGGCCGCCATTCATCCCTATTTTTTTAATGACCTGTTGGGAGAAGTGCAACTGCAGATGCAATTGCTTTAGCGAAGCGATATTTAGCAGCGGGAATATTGGATGGACTCTCTGGTATATTGAAAGAGCCTGCAGACATCCTATCTCAACCTCTTCCTGCTATCCAAAGAGTTCTTGTGTACGTCGGCATCATCAGTACCATGTAAGCCTGTGTTCTCCACGGCAGGAGAAATCGCTTGCAAGAATCGCAACAGAAACTTGTTTTTTGGAATAAAAATGTGTAAAGACAAAAAGTCTACGAGCATCCTCATTCACATGATTTTCACTTAGATTTTCAATGATGATACATGTTCACATATTTACAAATATGGAATAATACAATATGGATGCAAAGACTTGACTGATATTGTATACACCAGGTCATCAAGTCTGTGTCAGTTCAGTCTGTCAAGTACACAGCAGGTGTCAGTATTCAGTGACACAGTATCATCACAGTGTGTTATACAGTACAGTACAGTACAGTATTAACAAAAACACTTACAGGCTTCAGGGTGTCCCCCGACCCTTGCGAAGATAAAGCGGATCAGAAAATGGATGGATGGACAGATGCAACCAATGTACATGATCAACTGCCAGTTGTTTTAGAGCTTTTTGAACGAATTTTCACTTTTGTAAACTGTGCTCTCATGAGTGTAAACCTATAAGCTAGTGTGAAGCATTTCAGCCCCACTTCCTGGGTTCTGTGTTTGAATCTCATGTATGGACTTTTCATGTTGTACCCTATGCCCGTATGTTTTTGTCTTTATTTGCTTTACCACTCTCCAAAAACATGCATGTCAGATTAATGGAACTCTAAATTGTAAATGAGTTTGGATGTGGGCATTGTATATATATTTTTTGTGACCTGCAATTGCTTCAGTCATCTACAGGCTCCAGCTCACCCATGACAGTAATAAGGACAAAGCACAATTTTAAAAAAAAAAGGATGAAGAGCTATGTCCTTACGAAAAAAAAAAAGTTTAAGCAGTAAGCAGTTTTCCAGCACAGGAATCAGCAGGTTTTTACAGTGTGGCCCATGAATAACAACTAGTAGTCTCTTTCAAAGGCGCTTTTAGGGGGGTATGTTCAATAAAAGCCAGGTGCGGGGCCAGGGTGTACCTAGCAAAAGGCAACACATGAATACAACAAAGAACAGTGACTGTGTTACAGTCCATCATTATTTGCAAACTCATTGCGAAAAAAGTTGTTCTGGCAGCTTGAGAATATTTACCACAGTGGAAACAGGAAAGTCATGATTAGAGGCTACTGTAAAAGTCCTTGTGGTGGGAAACATCTTTCTTACATCTTACTCGGCAATGAGTTGCAGATGTTACATTGTCAAGCAGCTTATTTTTGATTGGTCATCAAGCTTGTAAACTAAACTTTGTGTGTCCAAAATGTTTTAAATAGAAGTTAGCAGGTGTATTCTGCATTTTTTCAAATGTGCGTTTTCATAGGTTTGCCACTTTATAGAATGACAGATTAATATTAAAGATACATGCCAAACATGAGGTCATAGTCCATTTCAGGAAGAAAATGGCGCAAAAATATTGTGTGTGTGTGTGTGTGTGTGTGTGTGTGTGTGTGTGTGTGTGTGTGAAGTGAGGCAAAGACACAGAGGACAAAAGTTCACCACTGCTGCAGTCAAAGTAACCAATTACCATTCATGTCTGGACTTGTCCATTCCAGCAAATCATGCCATTTTTTTTTTCCGTTAATGTCATAACGATTCTAACTGCAACACCCGTGTTATTTAATTGATTGAGGGAGGAATGTAATCAATCTGTTATACTTAAAGTGGATGGTTTGCAGTACTGGCTATGTCATGTAAAAGATTATTTGAACGCCTTGTGTACTAATCTGAAGAAAAAAAAATGCTACCAGTAAGGTCTTTTACGGTAAGCCAATACTTCATTAAGTATATCTGCACTAAATTATAACACCATGTATTACAAAGTATCCATCCAACCATCTTTTATGTCGTGTATCTTCATGACAGTTAAATGTGGGCTGTAGAATTTCCCACTTGGTGGTGAGGCAAGTCAACAAACACCCTGGACTAATTGCTAAATGATTGCAGGGCACAATCAACACCAATTCTCGCTGACATTCATGCTGATGAACAATTCACTCTCAATGAACCTAACCTGCGTGTTTTTGGAATGTAGGAGGAAGACGAATGACCTGAAGATACCCGAGGCAAGCATCGGAAAAACATACACGAAAGAGGCAAGATTTGAACGCAGAACCTCAGAAAACAAAAGCATCAAAAAGTTATATATTTTCTACACTGCATTTCATTTATCTAGCTAAATTTATACTGAACGTTCTTCAGGAAATGAAGCAACTAATGACTTTGCAGTTGTTCAGATCTGTATTGCATCATCGTGAGGGCTGTACAGAACCTCAGAAAACAAAAGCATCAAAAAGTGATATATTTTTTCCACACTGCATTTCATTTATCTAGCTAAATTTATACTGAACGTTCTTCAGGAAATGAAGCAACTAATGACTTTGCAGTTGGTCAGATCTGTATTGCATCATCCTGAGGGCTGTTTCTAATATATTGATGGAAGGCTCCAAAGCACAATAAACAATACGTTTTTACCACAGTAATTTCAAGTTGATCATGATTACGTTTGTAAGAACAAGATCAAGTCAACTCTGGGAATTGGTTCTGTTTGAGTTGGCGTACCAAATGTGGCTGGTGAAAGTGATACAAACGTGTGAAACGTTCAGACGGGAGAAACCAACAGTGGTGTTTTGTCTCCCTCTGCTGGAGTATTGTCATCATTGCTGAAATGTCTTTGGCTCGATGTCTTTTCTTTTGTTTGTTTGCTTACAATGCCATTACCATTTGATGTTCATTTGTATTATTTGGCATATCTAATTATTTTTAATGCTGTTTTTCCTCTAATGATATGTGCCTTTAATTGATTCGGTTACCTTTGTTTTTGATTGTTTATAGACTGCTCCATATTTCCATGCATTTATTTGTTCCCGGTCCATTCAATTCATACGATTCTGTAGACTACACGTGTTATGACAGACACTTTGACAGTACTATATTGAGTTTGTCGCTTCTGCTGTGCTTACTGTCACTTTAACTCTCTCTCTCTCTCTCTCTCTCTCTCTCTCTCTCTCTCTCTCTCTCTCTCTCACTCTCTTCAATGCGGCAGATGTAAGATGCACGCACCTTGTTGAGGTGACAGATCATGGGAAATGTGTTGTATATCGCAAGATATGATTATGACGCTTTATTATCTCAGGCAAACACAATGATTGTCAGGTAAGTGGTGCGCTAAATATTATCATTGTTTTTGGAAACTGTAAATGCAGAGTGGATTGGGTTAATTAGTAGATATGTTTGAGGTTTCCACGAGCCTACTTGACACTCAAGTGCTGGTGTCATTTTTTGTGCTGAAATTGTCCTCCTTTGAATGCTGTTGATTAATTATTCACTGTGCCAAAATGTTTGATGAGGGTTCCATCACGAAGTTGATCTACGGATCTTGCAACGCGTTGGCATTTCAGCTACGTCATGACTTCATATCCCACAATCCAGAAGTAGGGGGCATACTTTCTGGTCAATTATTATTCATGGTGGAAGAATATAGAAAAGCATGCTTGGTAAAATTTCATTTCAGCAGTTATGATTTGCCAAATTCAAAGTGGCAAAAATCCGATAAAGCTTTGCATTTACTAAATACAATTCCCACTTTTGTTATACTAAATCCAGAAGGTGCATGTTTTTCTTAGGGTTTTTAAATTATGATGAAATGAAACCATACTTCCGGAACAAGAGGAGACTTGAGTAATACCCGAGTTTAATTCGCTTGGCGTCGCAACACTCTTTGTACATTCAGTTCGTCAACAAACCACATTTTGTTAAGGGTCTTCAATTTACGATACTGAAGAGTGTCTTGAAATAAATCTAGACGACCAGACGTATATGACCAGCACTAAATACAAGATATTTACTTGAAAATGCTTAATTTACACAACTGCGCATGCGCATAGCATCTTCCATCGCATCACCGACCTAAAAATGAAACTCCGACTAAGTGCTTTCGTAAAACTGACTATATGTCGTGCGAGAAGAATACACTTCCAGGCTGTGGATTATTTCATATGGAACGTCCAGGGAAATGATACATCTCTTTGGTTTGTTTGTTTTTTTTAACCGTGTCGGAAGTCAGTGGGCTTGACTCATCTCGCTTCATGCCTTCTCCTGAGCAGGCTAATTCATTTTTATTCTTAGAACATTGCCTTTGAAGGAGGCGATATTGCGATGGGAGGAAAACACCATGCCACTCTTGGTTGACGT